TTTATTAACCCTCCTCGAAAAAGTCGAGGACGGTATAATCGGATAAGATGGTCGAGGGTGAACCGCATCCCCTCGATTTTGCTTACGAAATATCGGATCAGGATAATGATCCGCCAAAAAGAAGANTGTCCTCGTCAATACTCGAGAGCAGAGCCTTGGTAGCCCGACGCTGAAGTTTTATTAACCCTCCTCGAAAAAGTCGAGGACGGTATAATCGGATAAGATGGTCGAGGGTGAACCGCATCCCCTCGATTTTGCTTACGAAATATCGGATCAGGATAATGATCCGCCAAAAAGAAGAGTGGACCTGGCCTAGGGTTATTTGGTATTGACGACAGAAATCAATGATAACGGAATCGAGGGGACCCAACGTGAAAGGATAAGAATACACATTCAAAAATCCTCTCACGTGCGAAGTGATATCTTCGTCAGAAGAAGGAATCATTATTTCTTTTTTATCCCAATTGCAATCTTTCTTTAGCTGTTGGAGGTGCTTCTCGGTTATCGAACATATATACCTCGATACCGGTTCACATCGACCAGGCACCGATGATCATTTATCGACCTTGAAATCAAAAGTAAGGACGCACGCCCCAGGAACACACTCCTCAGACCGTGGTTCTGCCGGCGTATCATCGGCGGCACACTGTGAAGATGAAGTTTTCTCTTTTTGACGGATGGTTTGTGACGTTTTCGCCATTTTCGAGTTCAGAAGCAAGGAATAGAGAAAAATGACAAAGATTTGGTAAAATTGAGGAAGGACTTTTGCAGAAAGAAATCACAGATTTACTGGTAAGTTGGAGAGTACGAAGAAGAACTTGGGAAATTTGGAAGATAGAAGATGTAAAAGTGGTAAAAGATAAAAGAAAGGGTTATTTATAGGTTCAAGCGATGGCGGTTCAGTATCAGCAGTGGCCGACCACCGCCTGACATGCATTAAATGCCTTGAAAGACTAAACCGACGGGACAGCTACCAGATGCGTCATGGTCGAACCCTATGGAAACGTCAGGTTATAATCCGATCGAGCTGTTAAAAAATCATATCATTTCTCGCCACATTCTTTCTGAGAAACGAGGGGACTATCTGTATACGGTCGAAATAGATTTCGGCCTTAGCACGTCCGATCGAGTTCGAACGATGATCTATCGAAATAAGATCCCGAAGGTGGAACAAACTAACCTCGAACCCGGGGAGGCCGATCCGTGTCGAGGTCGATATCATTATCAAGCTAGAATCGAAATCGAACCATGATGCAGAGTAAATCTATCATGCTGATAATCCAGAGACCAACCAACATTGACCTCGAATCAATTCGAGGGCTCGAGCCAGGATCGGGCTCGAACCAAGATCAAGAGCTCGAGTCGAAATCAAGCTCAAACCAAAATCGAGGGTTCTAAGCAAGATCGAGCTCGCAGACAAAAGCCATTGCAATCCCACTAGAGAGAATCTTGACAGAAATTGTGAAAAAGCTGACTTATTATGGGTCTCCCACTGAATGTTTATTTTATTATGCTTAGAGCCAAATCCCTCCACTATAAAAGGGCTTGGTTACCATTTCTGTAAAACAAGTTTTTCGCAGGCTTACATTGTAATAAAAGCGATATATTCTTCTACAGTAAAGAATCGTTCTTTCAGATTTCTTAGATTAATTCTATTTGTTGAATCCTAAGATTTATTGTTCCTAACAACCTTATCTATTTCGCATTCTCTGCAATCTATATTTACATTTATATTTATCCTTATATTTTGTGTTAAGTTACGCCACATATCCTCGGAACTGCGTATAAATTCAACTATATCCATTTTTCGGGTAAACAAGTATATTTACATTTTGATTACAGGAGGAAAAAAACCAAACAAAACATATGTATAACCACTCCAAGAAGGCAAGAGTCACAGTATCTGATATTTCATCTTACTATATATTATACTTATTTTCTAAGCCCAACTCCTAATTTGTAACCCTTTTAGTCCCCTTCACATATTCTTATTTCAACTTCCATCCTCCAACTTTTCCCTTCATATACTAGTAGCACTAAAACTATATACAGTACTGCTCTTCTCAAGAGCTATCAAACACTGGCCTTTTCGTGAGAAAGCACTAGTGTTTTAAGGGAATTGGAGGAGCTGCATTCTGATTACTAAGTCTGTATACATACGTGGTGCTGATATGCTAATTAGGAGCAACTGAAGGTCTTGAAGTTGGACTCGATTAACTTAATATCCTATAACTAATCCTCCCATTGGGGCTCGATGTGGAATTCCCTTTCTTCGTTTGGCTGTTCTGTAATTAACAGAAGTTGGAGGGGGCGTTGACGGACTGAAACTTTGAACCTTGTTTCGCCGGCTATGGTTGCTGCTACTATAAGAGTCCTCCGAGTCATAGGCTGCTGCTGCTGCTGCCGCCGCCGCCATCTTCTTCTCCGATGACTGTTTTGGCTTCTTCACGAAATTCTGTGAAGTCCCAACAATCTATAAATAATCAAAATTAAAAATTAATTACTTCCTCCGTCTCATATTAATAGTCATGATTACTAAAAATAGTTGTCTCAAATTATTTGTCATTTTAGAAGTTCAAGACAAAATTGATTATTTTTTTACCCTTAGTAATAATTGTTCTTGAAGATAGAGATAACACATAATTAGAATAAATATTCAATGAAGAGATTATATCTAAAATATAAATATGGATAAAATAGAATAATTCTTTTCCTAATTAATATAAGAAACACATAATATGAGAGGGAGAGGGAGTACAACATTCCAAGAATTGCTAATGGGGAATATATTAAATGCTTAATAAGTATCTATCCCCAATCTATAAAACCCACCTGTTGATAATGCCAAAGTTTGTTGCCAATAATGGACCAGTAATGTGAGTGGAATTTCCACACTACCATTCAATAGCTTCACATTTTGTCAAAAGCAAACAGCAATTGAAAATAGCCTATACGGTATTCAGGACCCAAATATTCAATTTAGTGACCATTAAAAGTCAAAATAAATGCAATAAAATTTTTATGCAGGGGGTAAGAATGGAGCAAAAAGCAATTAGTAAGTAATTACCTTACAGCCAAGAGAGCAGAATCTGAATGAGTCGAGGAGACTCCTTTCACAAACTTCACAGGTATTAGTGACACCTTTGCCTGGCCTAGGTTGTGGCCTCTCATTCAAGAACACAACCTTTGCACTGTTGATAATGTAGGTCTGAACTGAAGTGATGTCCAAATACTTCTGTATTTCATTCACCCTTATCACATCATGGTAAGATGACCTCCTTATCTGTTCCAAAAACAGAGCAACCCACATTCAGTTTTGAAGTCAACGGTGAAAAAAATGGCAGAAACCCCTGAAATTGAAAATGAAAGAATAACAGAGAATACCTGAATGGCACGATGTTCCTTGTGATGAGATAAACAAAGAGAGCAGAGAGCGCCATTCATACAGTCCAAACAGTACATATTGCATTCACTCTTGTGGGAATCAGCATGTAACTTGCATTGAACAAAGAAACGTCCCTCTAACAATGGCTTCAACCATGGTGGCCACCTATTCTCCTCTTCATCTGGCCCTCCAGCTCCCTACACATTTTAACACTATCAGCAAAACTAAAACACAACAAACATTGATTAATCAACAACCAAAATATTTTACCATGATTCGCCTGTTCTTAGGCTTGAATTCACGGACACTTGTTTCTTGTTTATCGATCGCCAGCTTGAATGAAACTGTTGTTAGTAGTAACGCTATGTATCGGTGAAGAGAAAAAATTTTGGTTTGTGAAATATAGGAATTGGAGGCGGTGTGAGAAATATGAGGGTACTTGTAAGGGGGAGGGAAAAAAGGTCGGGTGGGTGGGTTCAGGAGGGAGAGGGGTCGTTCTTATCCTTTCAAAGGTCATACATACATAAACAAAGTTTCCGAAGCAAGCTCCGAGGCAAAACCTATAGATACGTTGGCTGCAAGGAACCGACCTCCTTCTTTCCTTTTATTTTCCCTTTCATTTTCATGTTTTCCATTTTTTTCTTTTATTCTTTATATTATTGATATTGATGTTCAAAATAATCATGTCGATTAGTTTCTTTACTTTTATGTCTTTTTATTTTTATTTTTATTTTTATTTTTATTTTTATCATATTTAATTAATAGAGAGGGGAAGGTGGGTATTTTCAATAGTGAGTTGGCACATTATTCTCTTTTAACAAATTTGGTATCTTTGGTCCATTATTGGCCATTTAGTTAGTTGTTCTAAGTGGGGTTTGTGTAAGAAACAAATTAAATATCCTTTTTAAATTTAATAATCACCATCCTCCCACTTGGGAATATCATTTTCTTTCATTTATTTTTACCTCATTTTCTTGCTTTTTCCTCCTTTTGAAAATAAAAAAGAAGAGGAATGTTTTCAAAATTTAAGCAAATCCATGAATAAATGGTAATTTGAAATGACAAATCAATTAATGCAAAATTAGAATTTGATATCCTTGTTAACCTGTAGTGTGAGACAAAAGGAGGACGCTAATATTTGGCAAGATTGCAACCATTAACACATTACCAGTAAGCAGTAGGTAGAAACATGAAATAGGAAAAATTATTTCATCACTAAAATAAAATGGGGATGCTAGCATTTATAGCACTTATTTTAGCAAAAATAATATGCTGAAATTTCTTGTTTCAATGATATATATGCTCTTAACAGCTCTTTCCATAGGTGAATACAACCATTCAAAATAAAATAATATATATATATATATATATATATATATATATTGTGTCTGTTTGATCTGCTCTCTATAATGTAGGGGTAAAATTGATTTATAACGTATGGTCGAATGATAATATGACACGTGAAACCGAAGATAGGCAAAGGGCAAGTCAGGGAACAACCAATACCGGATACAACGAATATAATCGATATCGGGTAAATCCTAAAGGGAGCGTAGTCGACGGGAGAAGGTCAAGAGTTTGCCATCGGATAGTATTCAATGAGGGAATATTCGCTAACATTAAATGAGCGACCGTTGTAGAGAATATTTGCATTCATGGCGTGCCGTTACGCGTTCATCAATGACTTGTTTATTATCATTTAAGAGGAGTTTGATCCTAGGATCTTATTTCCTTAGGTAAAGTTATAAATAGAAGGCTTAGCAGCTATTGTAAGGACACAAAATATTCGGTACAACAAAGGCTATATTTTACTTTTTTGCTCTTAAATTAACAGCTTTCTTTCACTTTGTCGTCATTCCTATTTGTGCTCTCGGAGACGCTGAGTTTTGAGCCAGGCTTGTTATCTTCTTCAATTTCAATCGTTAAATCTCAATCCTAATCTTATCTCTTTATCATTTTTGGATCAAATCAATTCGCTTGTCTATAAACCACGTAACAAATTTAACTGTACAGTTTTACGGGTAAACAGTTTGGCGCCCACCGTGGGGCTTAGACGGTTGCGTAATTGCTTTAATCCTTACGTTTATTACTAACTTGTTTTGATTCTTTCCTTAGTGAAAAAAGATATGACAGCTAATGATGTCAACATCATACACAACACTGAGGGGCACGAAGGATTATCCTGACATGATGACTCAATCAGTGAGAATCACAACGAAGAAAATGAGACGACCCCAGTTCGAGATGGCCAGTTTCCCCGGCATGTGCGGGAACCGACTCCTGATGATGCAGAGGAGGAATATGTCGTGGAAACGGTTAAAATCCTGAGAGAAGAGTGGAAAGCAATCATGAAACACCTCTCAAGGCAGGATCGGCTGATGACAGAGTTAAAACCAACATTGATAGGCGCCTCCAATAATGCGAGCGAAATGGGCCCAATTCCTCTCAGCGTTCTTGCAAACCAAACGGCTCAAAGGGTCGATAACAGCACCCCAAGGGGTGAAGTTGCAACGAAGCCGGAGGGACCGGTAGCGGATCTAGGAATAACAACGAGAATGATCCCTTCAAAACCGAGCTCATGAGGTTTATGAGGGAAATGAACTGACGAATGGATCAAAATGCGAAGGAGTTTCACGCTCGGATGTATCAGATTCCGGGCGCACCACCAGCACTAAAAGGCCCAGATTCAAAAAAATACACGCAATTGCCATTTAAGCCGAGCGCAGTACCAGAGTTAATTCCAAAGAGGTTCAAGATGTCGGACATACTAAAATACGATGGGACTTCGGATCCGCATGAGCATATCATAACCTAAACCACGCCTGTGAAAGGGAATGATTTGGCTCAACATGAGATTGAGTCAGTCTTGCTAAAGAAGTTTTTTGAAACCCTCACCAAGGGGACCTGACATGGTATTCTCTCTTACCCGAGCATTCAATCGGCTCTTTCGACATGCTTGCAGACTCGTTCATTAAGGCCCATGCTGGAGCAAGGAAGGTTCAAGCCAGAAAGGCGGACATATTCAGGATTGCGCAGGGCAAGTCCGAACTGCTACGAGAGTTCATGATTCGGTTCTAGAAAGAGAGGATGATGTTACCTACGGTACCATATGAGTAGGCAATGGAGGCATTCACAAAGGGTCTAAATCTACGGAGCTCGACGCCTCCCGAAAGCTGAAGGAAAGCCTGCTCGAGTTTCAAGCAACTACATGGGCGGATGTCCATAACCGTTATGAGTCAAAAATAAGGATAGAATACGATCAGCTTGGGTCCCCGGTATCAACTAAGGGAAGGGATCGAGAAAAAAATCACGACAAATTTAAAAACGACTTTGATGTGGATCAACGGTCCTCTAGAGGTCATTTTCTGCCATATGACAGAATCGAAGGTTGTAGCAGCAAAGGGTTTCGATCATCGAATAATTTTGCTCCCGATAGAAGAACCAATCATGGTCGGAACAACAGGTCGTTACAGGAGAAGGAGGTGCCATGGGCCCGAAACTCTACATATCCCAGGTTATCAAATTATAACTTTAGCATCAGCTTATTAGAGTTGGTATCGGCAATAAGGAATATCAAAGAAGCGCGGTTCCCGAAGCTAATCCAATCAGATCCTAGCCAGAGAGATCTTAGTTTGTGGCGTGAATACCATGGGACTCACGACCATAGAATTGGGGAATGCCGGCATCATCATGAAGAGGTGGCGACATTGTTGAAGAATGGCCATCTTAGGGAATTCTTAAGTGATCGAGCCAAGAAAAACTACGACCGAAGCCGGGACAATACGGAGCCTTTGAAGGTAGCAGAAGGCTCCCATCGACTGACTATCAACATGATTTTCGGAGGAAATGAAGTCAACTATGTAACCTTTTCAGCAAAGAAGAAAATGGAGATATCGGTGACACACAACAAGAGACTTCGGAAAGTCACAGAAGATGATATCACTTTCACGAAGGAAGATGCTGACGAACTTCTTCTGCCGCATAACGACGCTTTGGTAATCTCTCAATATTTTAGATTTCAAAATTAAACGTGTTTTGGTTGACCCAGGAAGCTCAGCCAACATAATACAATGGAGAGTTTTGGAGCAAGCAAAATTAAATAGGAATATCGTTCCAATGATAAAACTCTTAGCTGGCTTCAACTTGACAAGCGTGACAATCCGAGGAGAGATTTTGCTGCCCACACACGCCGAAGGAGTGACCAAGACTACTCTATTCGAAGCGGTAGATGGCAATATGGGTTATAATGCAATCCTCGGAAGACCGTAGATACATTAGATGAAGGTCGTACCTTCAACATATCACCAGTTATTGAAATTTTCAACGCCAAAAGGAATCAAGCAACTAAGAGGAGATCAACCAGCAACAAGGGAGATGAATGCGGTAACTGTTTCCAGAAACAAAGGGAGAGAGTCCAACAAATAGCATTTACAGGAACCAATGCCTTCTCCCTTCCCAAATAAAGACGGTAAGAGAGAGGAGTCATCGAAATCCTATCAGGTTCCGAGATATTTTCAGGTACCAGAGGAGACGGATGTGACCAAGTTGACCACGGAGGAACTTGAGCAAGTGGCCTTATTCGAAGAATTTTGGAGAGAAAATTTCACCTGGGGACAGGAATAATCCCAAGCTTAGGTTAGAGTTTATTACTTTTCTTAAAGCTAACGTTGAATGCTTTGCGTGGTCGCACTCGGATATGACATGTATCCCATTAGAGGCAGCGGTTCACAAGCTAAGTCTGGACCCAAACTTTCCACCGGTAAGACAAAAGAAATGCTCGATAGTAGAGATCAGGAACAAGTTACTTAAAGAAGAGGTAACCCGATTACTCAACATTGGTTCAGTCCGGGAGGTAAAATACCAGAATGGTTAGCCAACGTAGTTGTAGTACCAAAAAAGAATAATAAGTTTAGGATGTGTGTAGACTATAAAGATCTAAATAAGGTGTGCCCTAAAGACTCATTTTCATTGCCAAACATTGATCAATTGATAGACGCGATGACGGAGAAAGAGCTAATGAGCTTCTTTGATGCTTACTTCTAGTATAATCAAATCAAGATGAACCTAAAGGATCAGGAAAAAACTTCTTTCATAACAAACTTTGGCACATATTGCTATAATGTGATGCCATTTGGGCTTAAAAATGTCGGAGCCACTTATCAGAGCCTCGTTAATAAAATGTTTGAGGGTCAGATAGGTAAAACAATGGAAGTATATATTGATGACATATTAGTCAAGTCTTTGAATGCAGGAGATTATTTGAAACACCTCCAAGAGACTTTCGACATTTTGAGGAAGCATAATATGAAGCTTAACCAAGAGAAATGTGAGTTCGGGGTCGGTTCCGGTAAGTTCTTGGGGTTCCTGGTCTCGCAAAGAGGGATCAAGGTAAATCCTAATAAAATCAAAGATATCGAGGACATTCCAGACCAATTGACAAGTGTGAAGGACGAAGATTCATCTCAAGATCCTCAAAAAAGTGCCACCAC